AAGGGAAGGTTGTGGAGATGGAGGACATAAATCGTGTCTACCATCTGTTCTTAGATGTCAAGAGATCAACTCAGTACCTGATGGAGTACCAAAATCAATACATGTTCAACGAATTGGGAGATGAAGAAGAAGATGATTCTAATGCTATGAAGCCTTGACATTTCTGTAGGAAGAATTTTGGAGGCTATATTACCTGGTTGATTATTCAGTGGCTATCTTTCTTCATCAGTGTAAGATGTATATCTAATTTTCATGCTTGATGCTTACTGCTATTGTTTTCTGTATCATTGGGACTGTTTAGATTCTTATAGATATTTCTTGTCATGTAACTCGTGATTGATATTATTTCCCAGAAGAAGAGTTCACGAGATCAAGTATTCAGGTTAATTCACCCAGTCGATTTACTTGCATTTATACCCAATTTATACGACGGTTGGCTTCCACTACGAGGGCCACAGCATTTATGTCACCCCATGCATTTATATTTTACAACAATAGTATATTTAGATCTTTGAAGCATTATAGTAACCGACACACTAAAAATTGATATCGAATTATTTCCCGCCGATACTATATCCTCTCTCTCCTTACATATACATATTATTTAATTCGAAGGCATTAGTATTGTCATTCTCATTGTGCAACATTTTGTATCACAATTATTTAATTCACTGATGTTAACAGTAGTACTAGGCTTGCTCATTATAGAACCATAATTATGGTACGTAAACTTATTAATTAATGCCTTATTTCTAAAAATTCAAATTCAAATTCAAATACAATTACAATTGGATCCAATTTCAAATCAATGATTGCAGCATGGGGCTCACATAGAGAAAGCTAAAATTAAGCTCATTCCCACATACATTTAATAAAACAATTCAATCGTCTATCTCTATCATATCCTAACATATCCTATGTTTTAATGTCTTTTTAAAACGAACTTCCTATCAAATCCAATCTTAAATTAAAAAAAAAAAAAAGGGAAAAAAACTGTCAGAAGTTCATTGATAAAGTGGAGAATGAGACAAGTCAATGTGACATATGGCCAAGGTTAATTCGAGATAACATTCATTGTATTACTTACTTATTTTTACTCTTTATATTTTGTTGTCATATAAATATGTATTTCCTGTTTCTTAGGTCGTTGTGGCTTATATCTTACGACATATCGCAAACATGTCGGTACTCTTCGAAATTAAGCTGATGGAATAATAGTATTAACAATTTTAATTCCAAAAAAAAAAAAAAGAAAGATAATCTCGCATGCACCACCCGACAATATGATGCTTCCATTATACAAAAGTTGGGTAAATGGAGGAAAAAATTATCTTCCTATCCTTTTTTTTTTTCAGAAAAAGAAAAAGAAAAAAGAGGAAATTATCCTTCAATCATGCCATAAGTCTATGCGGACTCTTAAAATCAAATAACATAGTGACCCACTTTTCAAAAGCATCGCCATAATCCCTGGGAAAGCAAATCAAACTAAAATCATGTCTCCCCTTTAATTACTCTTTGATTAACCACTTTAATTTAGCATAAACAACCAAATTTGTTATCCCTTTTGTCCCATTCCTTTTCCAATAGGGTTGAATCTCGTCTCAATCTGCAAATCCCTTTCTAATTTGATTCAAATTATTCATAACCCAACTAATCATAGCTCTAATTTGGCTGAAAAAGATAAAAAGGACTCCAAATTTGACTCAAACCCACCACTGCCCATCTCCAAAATATGAACACACTGTTAAGAGATCACGACAAGTCTGTATTACTTTAAGAACGGTAATATCCATACCTTTGTCTTTTGTGTTTACACGACAATCTAGGCGGGGTAATCATAAGGAACTTCAGAGACGGAGGGATCCAGTGCATCCGGATGCACGAAACCATACTTTCTAAGCACTTGATTATCCGCGAAATTCAAAGCTTTACGCATCCCATCCCAACAAGATCCACCAGAATACATCTGATTATGATCCCCACTGCAAGGTTGACACCCTGTGAAGTGCGTGATAAAAGGCCTTCTCCAACTCCCTTTCCCGTTTCCAGCATCTTTCAAATACTTCTCCCTAAACGCACCGTATTGCTCGCTCACCTTCTCCGCGTGTCGCCGCCGGAGCTCCCCTGCTCCTTTCTCCATCTCCGTGTACTTCCCGGTGATGTTATCAAATGTCGTCACGATCTCCTCCCAATACCCTTCGAAATAGTATTCTGCTTCTAAGTAAATCTTGTCCGCCCATTTCTCTTTCTCTTTGTACAGTAAATAAACTAGGCCCGTCTGATCGTCTGACTCCGGGAACAGCTTGTCCGGGATCGTTGATTTCAGGATCTGTCCCCACTTCTCGTAATTGGGGGTTTGTGGGCCCATGCTGGCCCACACGTCCATAAAGTCCATGGACCACTGACAGTTTCTGATGAGAAACACGCCGGCGTTAAGCCCTGTCCAGCTTTTCCGATCATAAATCAGGTGTGCCCAACCATGGACGATAAGGTTGTGGTTCTTGTAACGTTCGAGTGGGAGCTTGAATTCCATGTCGGTGAACATCGCATCCGAGTCAACCCACCAGATCCACTCGGCCTCTGGGTGAGCTATCATCGCCGCTCGAACCACCGGCAGCTTCGCCCAATACGCGAACATTTCCGGCTGTAGCAGCGCGTTGTTGTAGAAGATATCATAGCCATGGATTCGGCAGTAATCGACTTTATTCTTAAAGAACCTCAGAAGCAAGTGGTCGCCGATGGGGTTTCGGCACGGCGCCGGCTGCGACGCCGTTAGAAGAAGCACTCTCTCCCCAGCACCGGAAGCAAAGGAGGGATGCCGATTCAGCCATTGTCGGCGCTTCTCATCCCAATTCTTCATCGGCTTCTGGATGGAGTAGCTTAATTTGGGATCATCATAGAAGGTAACATCCGGCGGGTCGTAGGCCAGAGAAGGACCCCTATGGCAACTCTGTGAAGACGAAACATCTGAAGGAGGGTTCAATTGGGCGTTAATGGAGTCGAAATCAGAGGGGTTAATAGAAGGGGTAATGAAGGACCAAAGGGTCCAGACGAGAAGCAGAGCAACCAATGCGCCGCCAAGGAAGAGAAACCCATCGGCGAGACAGGCAGAGGCCTTGTGACGGAGAGTGGGTTTAGCCATGGGAGAAGAAGAGGTCTGAGACTTGGAAAAGTCGGGGGCAACCATGGCGCTTTAAAAGTGGTTGGGTTAGGGAATTAAAGAAGGGAACATGTGAGTGAGTGAGGGAGCAGAGAATGAGAGTGTGTTAGCTGAGTTGAGGAGATGTAAAAAAGGGAAGAGCTGTAAGTTTATGGAAGAGGAAAGCGTCGGTTTAGAAACGGTGGAAATTGCAGGTAAGGCTGAAATTAGGAACAGCAGCGAGGAAATGAAGTGCGTGAAGGGGCGTCAGAGGTGGCGCCCTACGTGTCCATTTGGCTCTCTTTATACCCTAACGGGGTTTTTATTTATATATCTCAAATTCTTCCAAAAATTTGGACACAAGGGACCGGATTTCCCGCTTGCATTTGGGAAGACGGAAAAATCTTCGACGGACTCCGTTCAAAACCAACCGACTACACGCTGCCATGTGTAATATGTGACTTAACTTTTTACTATTGCTGTCCTGTCCTTGTCACGTTTTTTTCACAGATTTCTACTTTATTGCAAATAGTTTTTTATTTTTTAAATTTGACTAATTATTTAAATATTTTCAATTTATGGTAGTATAAATAAGGATAAAACAAATCCAAAAAGATTAAATAGTTTTCTTTTTATCTACTTTTAAGAGGGATAAATAATTTAATTGTTAATTGAATGTGTTGAAATGGGTTTACCAAATTTGGTTCATAAAAATGTAATTTTGCAAAATATATAAGCTTGAGAGCGTGGAAGATGAGGATTTATAATTCTTAATCATAGTTTGAGGTTAATTAGTTGAGCTGCCACTATGGTATAAAAGTTTTTTAATATAAAATTATGGGAAGGAAATTTTAGAAGGGTGAATCATACCTGCCCAAGAAAATTAAAAGCTTATCGTTGTCTTGGAAGAAACAAACAAATTTTGTTTCTTTCTCGTGAAGACAAAATTTGAATTTTGTAATTACAAACTCCAAAAAGATATTTGAATTTCATTTAGATTTTGAATATAGTTGATTTTCGAAGAATTTTGTATATACATAATACGTGAAAATGAGTTTTAGGTTTAGAAAGCGTGACTAAAAGTTTTTGTTCAAACCACTTTTAATAATGTTTTCATAATTTATTTATACAAAAATTAGCCGGGTTTCATTTACCTTCATTTAAATTGGTCTGCAAAAAATTTGAACTGGGTATCGCCTAAGCTTCTTTGGGTCATGGGAGTACAAAACGTACATCTACATATGTTGACTCGACCCACTTCAACTCAAATTGAGTTGACTTGACCAACCTAATTTGAGCTAGACTTTTTGTAACATTCCAATAATGTGAGATCACACATTAGTTGGAGAAGGGAATGAATCATTATAAGGGTGTGTTTAGCAGGTGGGTTTTAAAACCTTGGGAAAGTTCATAAGAAAAGCCTCCATAAGACAATATCTGCTAACAGTGAATTTAGACAGTAGATATTACAATTTTGTAATATTCCAATAATGTGTAAGAATAAAATATCTGATAATAAGTGAGGTAGAGGTAGAGTTGAACAGCCGAATAATATAAAAGAGAAATTTCCAATCTTTTTAGGGTACCAAACAAAAAAATTAAATACGCACCATATGTAAATGTACAATGTCTGTCTGAAAAAAGTAGCCGACCATGCTTATGCTGGATGCCCTAACGACCCAACGCCGACGCATTGCTCAAAATAAAAGCAAAAGCAAAATTATAATTAAAATATTAAAAAAACAAAAAATAAAAGTAGCTAGTCAAGGTAGAGTTGACACATACATACATATGGTAACCAATGTTAATATCCTCGAAACATTCGCCTAAGCAAAACCAAAATTAATATCCTTGGAAACATTTTAAACAACGTTAAAGGTAGAATTGACACTTAGAAGTCTCTCATTGGTGGATGATATTAGTATGAGGATAATCAAACGGTACAGAATAAACAGCCGACGACTCCAAATCCTGGTGCAAGAAACCATACGTGCGAAGCACCTGATTATCAGCGAAATTCAAAGCCCTTCCCATCTCCTGCCAACACGTGTCTCCATCATACGTGGGATTATGATTTCCACTACACGGCTGACACCCCGTGAAATGCGTTACGAAGGGTCTCCGACCGGCCCCACTTCTAAGTCCGGCTTTCTTAATAACCGGTTCTCTGAGACCCCCATAGAACCGGCTCACTCTCTCCGCGTGTCTCCTCCTCAAACCAGGTTCGCGTTTCTCCATCTCCGTGTACTGGGCGGTGATGTTACCATACCACCCTACCATCCCAATCCAGTACGACTCCAAATAATACTCCCCTTCTAAATAAACCTTGTCCGCCCATTTCCTTCCTTCCATCGAAATCAAATAAATCAGAGCCGACTGATCGTCCGGAAGCGGAAATGGCTTGTCCTTGAACGTCGTGGTCAGAATTGGGCCCCATTTTTTGTAATCAGGAGATTGGGGGCCCATTTTGGCCCATGAGTCCATTAAGTCCATGGACCATTGACAATTTCTAATCAGGAATACTCCAGCATTCAGGCCCGTCCAGCTTTTATTATCTCCTTTCTCGTAGACCATATTGGGCCAACCGTGAACCACCAGGTTGTGATTCTTGTATCGCTCGATTGGAATCTTGAAGTCCATATCTGTGAACACTGCGTCCGAGTCCATCCACCAGATCCACTCCACTTCTGGATGGGCCATCATAGTGGCCCGGATGATCGGGAGCTTGGCCCAAAACGAGTCCATTTGAGGCTGCAAGTATGCGTTGTTGTAGAAAATATCGTAGCCGTGGATTCGGCAGTAGTCCATCTTGTTCTTCAAAAGTCTCAGAAGAAGGTGATCGCCGATTGGGTTCTTGCACGTCGCCGGCTGTGATCCGGTCACCATCAGTATCCGCTCGTCTGCTCCAGAGGCGAGACGGCGGTGGTGATTGAGCCATGCTTTCCGTTTATGGTCCCAATTCTTCATTCGTCTCTCGATCGAGTAACTGAGTTTCGGGTCGTCATAGAAGGTTTGATCCGGCGTGTCAATTTCGTCGACGAATCGATCTCCGGCCGTAAACACGTAAGTTGGAAGCTTAAATATAGAAGTAGAGGAGAGGCTAGAATTAAAGAGGAAAAGCAGAAATGCTCCTCCAAGAAGGAGAAACACATTACAGGACAACCAACGAATTCTGCTCTGTAAAGCCATGGAGAAACTTGAAACTTTATTTGTAAGTGTTTGTGCGTTAGAATTTATTGGCCCATTATTTTAATTGTCAAATGGCATTTCGGGAAAGTAGAATGATAAGATTTGTTGGCAAATCAATAGAGATTCGAGGGAAATCAATAACGTTCCTCAAAAGCTTTTGGTCGTAATTGATTATGGTGGGCTGAGCCGTTTCTGACAGAACGCTGGCCAGAAAGGAAAAAGATCGCCATTTAAACACACCCAGAGCCGTATATGGCAATATAATTATGCATTTCTTGTATTCGGACAATATTTCGGGCTGAAAATAAAATTTTATTGATTTGAATTATTATATACGTAAGCCTCTACTGCATCAAATATGTATTTTATCATTTCATGATAAGGCCGAGCGTGAGGGTTCTCATATTTTCTCAAGCTAGTTCTGACCTTACAGTGGTGGCAGTATCCTAGTCCGGCTAAATATTACATGGATGCATTTTGAAAATAATCAACTACATTTCAACAGGCTAAATCCTTGTTGAAATTCTATTCTAACAACCTTGCAGGTCACGCCATTTGAGGTATATCAGTCCTGCACGATAATGAGTATATGCCCCAGCGACTACTAAGACGTGGAATAGTTGGTGGCTGTGGCCAGCAATGTCAAACTTTCCAGGCATCCATCGCTCCGGAATCCTTGCTGCATAAACAAGTGCTCCAACCCCATAAAATATCCCCATCAGTATCTCATACCCTGTTGTGTGGAGCGCTTCGGGCAAGCCCCAGAACAGGATAAGTTTGTGCAGAATAGGGGCGATCCCGCACAAGCCCATGCCAAGGAAAAGGGATGCCCGAAAAGTGCGATATTCGGGGGATTGAAACATTGGCAGCAAAGATACTAAGATGGTTGCAATTCCCACGAGGGTAATGAACCCCATATAGAGACTGCAAAAGAAGGGATAGCACATGAAGGTGTAGTAAACGGGAGGGTAGAAGGAGGTAGATATAAGGGCTGCAATTCCGGCATAGTCCAGCCTTAGCATTATGTATGAGAGACGCTCGGAGTGGCAGGAAAGAAGGTGGCATGAGCTGCTAGCAAGCAGGCAAAACATGGCTCCACCCAAGAATGCAAAGAAAGGCCACCGAGTAATTGGTCTCATAGCTACTGGTGCAATCATGTTGGCAACTTCCTCCTTCACGCTACTCTGGATTAAACCAAAAAACAACCACAGAGAAAATAATTAGGTCATGGCAGAACAAATCTAGTTGCAGTATTGCAAAGTCTGAGAACTTGCAAGCAAATCATTAACAATGATTGTACCAAGCATAGAGGTTACCAGAACATAGTCATTCGTTTGATTTCCGAGGGAGAATCGCTCCGGTAAACAATTGTATAGAAGCTCCACAACACGCCAGCTACACAGTGATGAAAGCATATCCATGGAAGGCAATGCAGTCTTTAACTCCTCCCTTAATAACTGCAGATCAGGTAGATGAGGCAAGGAAGGAAGGCACGTCAAGAGTTCTGCTTGCAATTTGTGGAGATCAGCATTTTTCAACACCTCAGGCAAATGTTGAAGAGGATGAATGTCAACAACGTCAGGAATCTTTGTTGCAGTATATATGGTCAAGGAGAGAAAGAGGAAAAATCCAATCAAATGCCTGAAACACACAGTATTGAAGTGAACAACAGCTCAAATTCATTGCATATCTTCTTCAATTTTATGAAAAAACAGACTCCCAGAAAAGGCTTACGTCCAAACATTAAGAGTCTCATTGTGTATGGAGAAGATGCTGAGCAGTGTCTGCTTCAATGGCCAATCAGCGCGGTAATGACCAAGAATGAATTCGTTATCCCTCAAGTAGGCTGGTAAAGCATGGTACTCAACCAACTGATACTTAACCTTCTTCCAAAGTTTTTTCCCCTTCCCATCCTTCGAGAAGTACCTTTGATAGCACTCCATTGATTCAGCAGAGGTCTTAAATTTCTCAGTCATTTCCTCATACGCATCCATCCCCTGCTAAACCAGACGAACAACACGCTATGATCGATAACCAACCTATGTTCTTCCTCTCAAGCCAATCAATTCAAAATAGTAACAAACAATTGAAAATTGCCTCAAACAACACCATAAACCTCTTATTTCGCATCATGATACGACAGTCCAAATCTTGAAATCGATTAAATCAAAATGCAACACAGGTAAAAATTAGACGCCAAAACGCGATGAATCAAAACGCCGAGAATTGCAGAAGAAAGAAAACGAAATTACGAAGAATTGGAAGAAGGGCAGCAGAATAGAGATGCGCAGAAGCAAACCCTGGTCCCCTCCAGCAGCAGCAAGGGGAAAAAAAAAAAAAAGGTGAAAACTACCGGACAGAATCCTGCAACAAGGAGAAGACGATGAAGTTAGCAAGGAAAAGAAGAAAAAAATAAAAAGTGAATGAAAGTAGGTGAAAACAAGAAACGTAACCACAAAATTACGAAGGGGGAAGGGTCCCGTAGATGATTTTCCGATGTGATGTTGGAGACCCCCACGAGAAGAGAGAGCTCCAAGTTCAACGAAAATGAATTTATATGGCGCAACGTACAACAGGAGAGAGCGAGGGAGAGTGATTCGTTGGCGAGATACGAAGATGCCGCCGAGTCCCCAAATTGGGTGGCGCCACTTCAATTCCTCCTCAACGGACCCGCACAATTTGACTAACCCCTTTTTGTCCCTTTCTTTTTCTAAGCTATTTTTTTATTTCAACTGAATTTTAGAATTTTGTAACCTGAGAAAAAAAAAATAATTAGTGTCACTATTTAGAAAGAAAACGTCAAATGTTAAAAGATTACGACATTTATTTATTATTTATTATTATATTCTTGTTTTTTTAGATAAGAATGAGATGCCATGATTAAAACAATTTTTAAGAAGAGTAACCAAACAAACAAAATCGGTTAATTAAATTACTCCATAAAAATAATTTAAATCGGTTAATTGTAGTCTTTTTTTTTTTTTTTTTTTTTTTTTAATAAGGCAACCTTCATTGTTATTTTTGTAATTGTCTAGTGGCTGAAAGTACCTAGGACCCGTGCTCTGTCGCATCGAGAATTAAACTGACCGTATTCGAAAATATCGACGGCCTTGATAAACCCGGTTTTAAAGAAACTGGGCTTGTACGAAGTCTCGGGCCCAATAATTGCATTTTAAAAGCCCAATCTTGGTTTAGAGTTTCATTATCAACATGCCCAAACATGAATCCACAATAATATATTGAAGGAAAATATTTATAAAATTATTTTCCATAATCTGACATTTATACTCATTAAAAAAAAAAAAAATTACATACCATTTTTTATTTTATTTTATTTTTAATTTTATCAGTTTTTTTTCATAATTACCTTTATTTTGATTTGAAGGTTTTTCTTATGGGATAAGAATTAGCTTGAAATTAAAATAATATTGTATCAAGAGGCACATTCATAGCTTTATTATCGTCAAAATATTCTGTAAATATTTATTTTGTATGGTATAATAACGTATAAAACCCAACAAATATTATATTAGTTTTAAGTTTTATAATATTACATCTATTTTGTTAATAAATTTCTCAAAGGGTTCATTTTCTTCTTGAAGTTATAATTTAAACATTGCAGCCACACCCATTCACATATAGATCGATTAATGATGGCATCATGGAACACCGGCAGACGCTTTGTGTGTTTGGCGTTGAAAAATCTTAGTCAATATGGTTGGGAGTTGACTTTTTTTGTTAATACGTTTCAATAAGAAATTGTTTGGTTTTAATGATTATTTCTTTTTTCTTGTTTGGTAAAATAACATTTTCTAGATGCCTAACCAAAAGAACGAGTTTACACGAGGGATTCATAAAATTTTACCGTTGTTGAAAATTAAATTTTGTTTTTTTTCACCCTTGCTATATATTTTTTTAAAAAGTAACTAAAGGAACAAATTATTGACTTGATTTTAAGAAATTAAAAAACTAAATAATTATAAAACACGACTTAAATAATTTAATTAACTTTATAGCTGAAATTTTATTTCTATCCAGAAATCGAAAACTTTAATATTATTCATTTTGAGCATAAATTCTTATAAATTTTGTTTTGGTTTTTTCAAAAAGTCTTAGACTAACGTGTTGATGTACTTATAAAGTCATGATAATTTCTTAAATTAGCTAATGTGTAATTCTTTACTAACAATTTTCAAGCTAATAAACACTATTTAAATTTCACAGAAACATAGTAATTAATCAAATAATTATAACTTCACATTGGGTTAATATTTTTCACAAGGGGAAAAGGGAAAAGAGAGGTGAAAGGGTAGGCGTAGCGCATATGTCTTGGCGTAGGCAGAATAGGTTGGAATCAACCGTCAACTTTGAGTCCCATCCCAAAATTAAGTGCCACGTCAGCTTTCTATCCCGAAAAAAAAAAAAAAAAAAAAAAAAAAAGCCCGGCCCAAACCGGTCCTCGGGGCCAACTCTGACCGTCCCTGAATCCTGAGGTCAGAAACTCAGAAATAAAGAGATGGAATTAAAGTTTCAACCTCCTTTTTCATGAACACAATGAATATTAAAATAAATACACATCTCCCGATCAGAGAGTGGGTTTTGCAGATCTTACACGTTTTGAGCAGATAGAGCTTTCAGTTCGTACTCCAATATTACGTTCCTTCTGATCCCATTATAAGTACCCATTACCCAACTCACCAACTTCATTCCATTCTTCCCTGTTTTTTTCTCTTTCCCTCAATTTTAAATTAATAAACGTTCTGGAATTCATTTTCTCTTCCGCATTAACCCTCTTGGCTGATCTGGAAAACGTCACGTCCTTTGTTCAGAGACCAGATTCTTAACGTGCGTCCGGGAGAGGGTAATCAAGGATAGCGTCAGTCCTCACACTTCTTTACTCAATTTTTCATAATCTCCTTCCTGTCCTCTGTCTCATACCGTAAAACCACTGCTCTTCTCCTTAAAAAACTACCCCTCCTTGCGACGTAAACACCACTTGGACTTGTTTACTTGGGAGATTAGATAGCTACAAACCAAATGGGTAACTGCCAGGCGGCGGAGGCGGCGACGGTGGTCATTCAACACCCTGGGATTAATCCCAGGATCGAGAGGATTTATTGGTCCGTAAGTGCACACCAGATCATGAACTCCAACCCTGGCCATTACGTTGCGCTCGTTGTTACCTCGTCCACTTTGAAGACCCAAAATGGTACCCCGATTAAGCATCTCAAACTCCTCCGCCCCGATGACACGCTTCTTATCGGCCATGTCTATCGTCTCATCACCTTCGAGGGTAATTCTTCATATTTCTCAAATATTTATTAAAAAAAAAAAAAAACTATATTTTAGTTGCGTTTGTTCTTGTTTCTTTTGGTTCAGATGTATTGAAGGAGTTCGCTGCAAAGAAATGTGTGAAACTGGGGAAATTGCTTAAAGAGGGAGGAGCACTCTCGATTGGGATGAAGAAAAAGGACACAGATTCTGCTTCAAATCCAAATTCAAATTCTAAATCCCAAAATTACATGAAGGTAATCGAATACCCATAAACCTTAATCATGCTCCTAATCCCCAAAAGTTGATTTATATAATTTCTTTTTCATGATTACACTCTGATTAAAACCAAAAATCAAAAGAAAAAAAAAAAACAGAAAGCTGTTTCTCTGAATAAGGAAGTATCTGAAAATGGTTTGAAATTTAAGGCCACGGATATCAAAGGAAATGCCTTTTATGGGCCACTTCATGAACCTTGTCAGAAATTTAAGTAACCTGTAGAGCTGTAGAGTGCAGAGGTATTCAATTATATATTATGAAGTCAAACGTATATTTCCAGACTCGAACCCACTTCCTTAAAAATAAAAAGAATTTCAAGCGTTCTGTTATGCGGTGGCATATGGATTTAGAAAAGGAAAATATAGTTTGCTAATGGGGTTTTGCCTGTATTTTGAATTTGAGTTCCAGTTTCCACTAACTTCAACAACACTTTTATCATTATTATAAAGTTTTAAATATATTTATTGGCTTGCTTTCGCTGTCTCCTTTGGTCCATATCAATATCTTCAGGAAAACGTGAACATTATTCCCACTTCTTCATCTTATTGGGGTCAAATCCAAACGTGATGCTAAAATAATTATTTTGAATATATGGTCAGGCGGAGCAGGAGGGGGGCCGCCGCCTGGAAAACAGAGACGCCGGCAGCAGCAGTGGTGGAAGAGGCGGAGGAGGACACAGAGGCATGGGTAGGCATTACGGTGGTGGGGGTCAATGGCGGCCAGCCTTACAGAGCATTGCAGAAGTTGGAATTAATTGAAGAATTAAAAAAAGAAAGAAAGAATAATTAGCGGAAGAAGTTGGCGTCGAAATCCAATCTCTATCTTTATACGTTAATATTTTAATTTCCCTATTTTATTTAATTTCGTCTAAAGTTTGTACCCTTTTTTCATTTGGAAATTAGTGTACGGAGCTTAATTATTCGTAATCACCATTAAACTATCTCTTAATTATGTTCTTTTCCCTTTAAACGAGTGGGCCCCTATGCCATGTTAGATACTGTTTTTAAAATTGTCGATTATTAGGATTATTAGGAATAGTTAAAAATAACGTATGTTTTAACTTAAATTATATGTTGTACTAAGAAAAAGTTTAATGTTTTAACCGTGACGATTGTACAACCAAGTGGTGCATAGTGTTTACCATACCGAAAAAGAAATTACTTTCACCTCGTCTTTGGTCAAGGTGAGCATTTGGACTCTTGAGTCTAAAACTCATATCTCTTGGGCTCAATGGGGGCTCTAAACTTGGCTAGTTTGGCTTGAAGTTTCGCCCTACTAATGAGCCAATAACTAATGGTTGCTAAGTCCCACGAATAAAGTTGTAAATTGCAAGTCCATCACAATTCTAAGGAAGCTCAAAACGGAAGGCGAAGGGAAAAGACTTTACTTTGTTTTAGCGAGAGCTAGCTTTAAGGTAAACTAGTGAGTAGTTGCATAAAATAGTTAGTCACTCCTTGATACTTTCATCCTTTAAGTTTTTAACAGTCAGAGGCAGGTCGGCCGAGTCTTTCTCATTTTGTTCCTGCCATAAGAAAGACTCATAGGGTGAAATATTGGTTTCAGCCCCGAATGAGAACCTATCAAACCTATATAGTAAAGTTTGTACTTAATGCGTTTTTTTATAAGGAAACACAACATCCATAAAACAAAGCTTAAAACTAACACCCTTGTGAATTAATTCTAAAACAGGAATGCAATAACTAGAGAGGGATAATACGACCGACAATGGATCCCATATATTAGAATACAAAAGGGGGAGGGAATTGAAACAAGAAGAAAATTGGACCTTCGAAAATCAAAGATTGACTAATAATGTAACGACCCGAAATTTTTAGGCTATTACAAGTCCTAAAAAATTCCTAAATCTTTTATATGTTCCTAAATCAAAGACTGATTCTACACGTAATAGTAAATCTATAATGGAATTGAAATTGAAGTAGATTGGACAAAACCGTGCAGAGTACGAAAATGACAAGTCCGATTGAAAAGCCTGTTTTGTCAATAAACAACAATTTGTTTGCGATAAACACAAAATAATGATAGTGGGCTTCACTTCATCCCTGCTGTGTGTCTCAAATAGCCCATTGGGCTTCTCCTTACTTTCTGGGCCTAACCCAAAAGAAAATGGGCCTTCCACATGACCGGTGTCAACATTATCGACTTGCCGTGACATGTTGAGACATTCTGTTTCAGCAGTTGAAAAGACATACTTTATGTCACCTTGAAAATACTTAAATAACTGATTCAGTAATTAACACGAGATATTTGTATTGCTTCTCTCCAAATATCTGACATGGATTCGTTTTCTTTGTTATTTATTTATTTTGTTTGAATAATTTACATCATTCAATTGTTTTATAACTATAAAAATGATTAAAACTCAAAATCAAAACCTCACCAACCGCTTCCCCATTCTTCTATTTCTTCCACCGTTTCGCCGCGTTTTCCATTATTCTATCTCCCTCTCTCATTTTCCCAATCCTTTTTTCTTCTTTTTTGGGTTTTATTTCATCACTATTAAAACGGCTGCGGCGGCGGTGATGGCTACTTCGACATCGAGAACGTGGGTTTTCTCGAAAAGGGAATTATGGTGTGATTTTAAGGCGGTGGGTGTCGGCCGTGGGTACAGAGAGAATTTCCGGCGAATGATTCCGGCTCCGTTCGGTGGAAGAAGAAAGTTGGATTTGGGATTGGCAGCGGCGGCGGCGGCGGCGGCGGCGAGAGGCTGTAAATGGGAGGAGTTTAAAACAACCGATCAGCCGCCGGAAATTGGGATTAACAAAGATCCTTATAAAGTTTCTGAAGAAGACGAGAGGTATATTGAAGAATTCAGAGATGCTTATCCGTGTATATTTTCTTATACAGGGCGAACTTTTGTCGTTGTGATATCTTCCGAAGTTGTGGCCAGTCCTCGCCTCCATGGCTTGCTCAAGGTCCCTCTTCCTTTCTCTCTCTCTCTAAAAAGTGGGTGTTTTTATTTTTCTCTCCATCAATGGCGGATGATTGTGCTCTCTGTATTTCAGTTGTAATTTTACTAAATCCACTTTAAAGTTTTGATCTTTTTGTTATTGTTTTATTAAAAATCCGATTTTGGAAGTGTTGTGAGAGCCAAGCGATTAATACAAGGTTTTTGTTTGTCTATCTTCAGTGTCTTGGTTGCTTTAGGGGCTTTAGAATGATAATATAGAACAGAGAGTGACAGATCCCCCCTGTGAATGTTTGATTAATCCACCACACCTAAATGGTGTGAAAGTTATCTTATTTATAATCAAATAAATTACAAGGATATGGAAATAGTAATAAATGGAAATAACAATAAATGGAAAGATACCTATGATAATAAGGCAAATAATAAAATATCAAATATAATATATATGGTAAACTATAATTTATTACTAAATATCCTTAACACCCCACCGCAAGCTAAGCGTCGGATTTAAACGNCGATGCTGCCTTGGCTTCGGTGAGAATATGTCTAACCCATGAAGAGGGATTGTCGCTTAGCGACGATGCTGCCTTGGCTCTGGTGAGAATATTTCTAACCCCAAGAAGTAGAAGGGGAAACCTAGAGCAAGGGACAAAGACAATGTTGAAGCCGGAAGAGTCGCCACATTAGGCGAAGGAGCCAATTTTGGCGAGAAGGGCAGTCGGAAGAGTCGCCTCATCGGGCGAAGAAGCCAATTTTGGCAGGAAGGGCGGCGGCAACTTGGTTGGCGAATAGGCCAGTGCGGCACCCAGATTCCGAAGGTAAATCTCTGCAAAAGGTTGATAGGTTTAGGTTAGGGTTTATGTGAAGGATGAAGGTTGATTGGGAAGAAAATGAGAGAGACTATATTGGCCAAGGGGAAAACCGATTGGGTTGGAAAAGGTGAGGTTGTATGTACAGAGTATGACGAAAGGTGATTTGGAGGTCAATAGGGTGGAGCCGAAGAGTAATCAATCGGCTCCGCCTGCGGCAGCCATGAAGACTGCCCCTGCGGCGTCAAAACCAGCAGGGGTGGTGGAGAAGAAGATTAGAGGATTCAAAAGCCATTGAAAAGAAAGGATCGGGGTTGTTAAACCGAGAGGGCTCTGATACCATGTGAATGTTTGATTAATCCACCACACCTAAATGGTATGAAAGTTATCTTATTTATAATCAAATAAATTACAAGGATATGGAAATAGTAATAAATGGAAATAACAATAAATGGAAAGATACCTATGATAATAAGGCAAATAATAAAATATCAAATATAATATATATGGTAAACTATAATTTATTACTAAATATCCTTAACACTCCCCAACTCAGCTTTCTCCACGTTTTCTTTCCGCCGCGTCTTCTTTTCAAATTCCACGTTGTCTTTACTTGTCATCTCTTATCCTTTTCTATGCTTGAAACAATCTGTTCGCGGTTTAGCTACAAGACAGAATAATTGGGTTCGGCATATCTGAAAAACAAGGGGTTCTATGGCCCAAAAGGCCCAAAATCAAACAGCCCTTAACTACAAGCCCAAAATAATTGGGTTCGGCATATTTGGAAAAGCAAGGAGATCCGTGGCCCAAATGGCCCAAAATCCAACAGCCCTTCACTTCAATCCCAAAACAATTGGTTCGGCCTATTTGAAAAAAACAAGGAGTTTCGTGGCCCAAAAGGCCCAAAATCCAACAGCCTTTCACTACAAGCCCAAATTAATTGGGTTCGGCCTATTTGAAAAAGCAAGGAATCCGTGGCCCAAAAGACCCAAGATCCAACAGCCCTTCACTAAAAGCCCAACCTAATTGGGTTCGGCCTATTTGGAAAAAGCAAAGAATCCGTGGCCCAAAAGGCCCAAATTGAAAAGCCCTACATCCAAAGCCCAAAATAATTGGGTTCGGCCCATTTGAAAAGGCAAGGAGATCCGTGGCCCAAAAGGTCCAAAATCCAACGGCCCTTCACTACTAGCCCAAAATAATTTGGGNTCGTGCTGTTTGAAAAAGCAAGGAATTCCGTGGCCCAAAAGGCCCAAAATCAAACAGCCCGTCACTACAAGCCCAAACTAATTGAGTTCGGCATATTTGGAAAAGCAAGGAGATCCGTGGCCCAAAAGGCCCAAAATCAAACAGCCCGTCACTACAAGCCCAAACTAATTGAGTTCGGCATATTTGGAAAAGCAAGGAGATCCGTGGCCCAAAAGGCCCAAAATCAAACAGCCCGTCACTACAAGCCCAAACTAATTGAGTTCGGCATATTTGGAAAAGCAAGGAGATCCGTGGCCCAAAAGGCCCCAAATCCAACACCCCTTCACTACAGCCCAAAATAATTTGGGTTCGGTCTGTTTGACAAAGCATGGATTTCCGTGGCCCAAAAGACCCAAAATCCAACAGCCCTTCACTGCAAGCCCAAAATAATTTGGGTTCGGCCTGTTTGATAAAACATGGAGTTCCGTGGCTCGAATGGCCCAAAATCTAACCGCCCTTCTTTTGGTGATTGGCGGCTCGGCCATGACTTGTAAGCTTCAAAATTCTATTTTGTCACTATCTTGTCCTGTTTGTCTGCCATGGCTGCCGCTCTTTCAAGCTCACGGCTACATTTTCAGACTGCCCGAGAGTTTCCTTCGAAGACTTTTCCTTATAGCCGTTGTTTCAGAAATGGGGCGGTGGGGTTTAAATTCAATAGCGTAGAGTTGTGGGACAAGGGACTGAAGAAAGTTGGGGGAAAATCGAGAACATTCAATCGATTCAACTACGGAGATGGCGCCGTGGAGGAAGAGGAAGAGGATTACAATTCCGTGGAGGATAAGCAGTTTGTGCGGTGGTTTAGGGAGGCTTGGCCTTACTTATGGGCTCATAGAGGAGGCACTTTCGTTGTGATCATTTCTGGGGAAATTGTATCTAGCTCTTACTTAAATCTTATTCTGAAGGCAGGTTTTGTCGTCATCTCTATAATGTGTCTGTTCTTGTGGTTGTATTGATAAAATCCGTCCTGTTCTAAGATGTATTTCGTTAGGTTTTGTTTTGGTTTGAATTATTACCATATTGAAGCTTTATGTATGTGCAGGATATTGCTTTTCTTCATCACCTTGGGATCAGATTCATTCTTGTTCCTGGGACCCGCGTGTTAATTGACAAAATTTTGGCAGAGAGAGGTTTTTAAGTTGATTTCTTTTGTATATTATATGCAATGTCATTGAAACCAAGGACTTGGGTAACTTTGTTATTACCCTATTAGTTTATTATAACATGAATTTGTTCTTTTTTAATCTTCTTCTTTTCAATGTGAACCTTAATATTTTTCATTTTAACTGTCTTTAATCCGTCACAGGAAGCAAGCCGAATTTTGTCGGTCAATATAGAGTTACTGACAACGAAACTCTAGCAGCTGCAATGGAAGCGGCTGGAGGTATCCGTGTGATGATAGAAGCAAAGCTTTCCCCTGGACCTTCTATATGCAATATTCGTAGACATGGTGACAGCAAACGTTGGCATGAAGTTGGTGTAAGCGTTGTTAGTGGCAACTTTCTTGCTGCCAAGGTAGAAACCTTTTTGGTTTGTGAATGTGGTATTTGAGATGAAACGCCATTTAATATTTTCATGGTGATTTGGGATATTATTTAGTTGCAAATTATAGAATGAGTTGTTACTATCCTTTTGCAGAGAAGGGGAGTTGTTGATGGTGTTGATTATGGAGCAACGGGTGAAGTTAAAAAAGTAGACGTAGCTCGCATGCGTGAGAGGCTTGATGGTGGTTGCATAGTTATATTGAGCAACCTGGGTTATTCTAGTTCTGGTGAAGTTCTGAATTGCAAGTATGCAATGATGCTTGTAGTTATCTGTTGTCAAAGCTTGTTATTAGTTGCTTCCTTCTTAATTATGACTCGTTTTGTAGGCGTTTGCTCACTCACTTTTTCTCACACACATTTCATTATTTCTCAGCTTGGGTAACTGTTTCCCTGGAATGTCAGGGAAGTAATTTACAGAATGTGGATAGCTCTAATGTTCTTGAATTCTTATAAATGTAGTGGTGGTGGTGAAATTAAGCGGGTGGAAATTTAGTTGAAATCACTATGAGGAAGAGCAGTTACTAATGATTTTGTTTCGTGGATTTCAGTACATATGAGGTTGCAACAGCATGCGCGTTGGCTATTGGAGCTGACAAGCTTATATGCATTATTGATGGTCCTATTCTAGATGAAGCTGGACGCCATATTAGTTTTCTAACTCTTCAAGAAGCAGACATGTTAATACGTGAAAGGGCCAAGCAATGTGAGATAGCTGCAAATTATGTGAAAGTTGTTGGTAAGGAAGATTTTACTCGTAATGATTCAAATGGGAGTATCCATTCACAGAATGGAAATGCTTCTTTCGAAGATCATAGTCCAACATTCCAGAATGGAGTTGGTTTTAGTTCCCATCATAGTCCAACATTTCAGAATGGACTAGGTTTTGCCTCCCATCGTAAACCAGTATTCCAAAATGGAGTTGGTTTTGGTAGTGGGAATGGGCTTTGGTCCTCAGAACAGGGTTTTGCCATTGGAGGTGAGCGGAATAGCCACTTGAATGGTTACCTCTCAGAATTGGCTGCTGCAGCCTTTGTTTGCCGGGTAAATTCTTCTATTACTTCCAGTTACCAACTCTGAACATGTTCCCACGTATTGTCTGTCTCTGTTCCCACCAACTCTGAACATGTTCCCTCGGACACACAGGCATAGGAAAAAGAAAAAAATGCCTAATCATGTGTTTCAATGAATTAGAGCTTGCTTATTCCCTTTGCAGCTCTTTATCTCTGATCAGCCCTTTGCTTTATTTTTAATCCTATTTTTTAACTATTTCAAGTTGAAACTGTATGATTGAAGTTATCATCAGCAGGGGTGGGAAAAAAGTAGGGCAAAAATTATGTATAAAATACTTATGATTCTGTAGTTGTCCTCTAGTTTGCCCCCCTAAAGTTTTAGAATTCAGAGATTTTATTTATAGAACGTTGAAATTCAAAATTTTGCCCCTTCCTAAGAGAATTCATTGGTTATCATTACATAAGCCTACTCTCAAACTTTGTTCCTTCGTATGTGGCTCAATAGATCTTCAGTTCTTGGAGAATTACCTGAATTATCCAGATCGTTGTGGAATGAGTTATTTTCATTTCATGTTGAAGTTTGGCTTGAATTGGGCTAAAGTGAGTGAGTTTGTTGCATACTTTTAGGGTGGTGTTCAAAGAGTACATTTGCTAGACGGAACTATTGGAGGAGTTTTATTGCTGGAGTTGTTTAAGAGAGATGGAATGGGTACTATGATAGCCAGGCAAGTCTCTTTCGTTTTATCTTTTATTAAAGATACATTATTAAATATCAACTTAAATAATGGATATACTTGATAATAAGTTTCACGTAATTGAGTGCTATGTTCTTATTCCAAAATAAAAAGTACTATTAGATTTTTTGAGGTCAACTAGCACTTCATAAGTGTGTGGGGCTGAAAGCAATTTTAGTGATATTGTTATTCTTTTTTTAAAAGCTTTTTGTATTGTATTCACCTATATGTTATTGTCATATTGTTGGTGGCTAGATGTTAAAATCATTTGGGAGAAGGATCCTAGTAATGCTTTTGGAATTATGTTGGCGAAAGAATCATTTGTATTAGAGTTACCAATTGCCAACTATAATTAATTATAAGGCTAATTTTGATCTATTAACTGATATGCCTGATGAAATTTTTTATTCCAGTGATCTTTACGAGGGAACACGAATGGCCAGAGTGTCTGATGTTCGTGGGATCAGACAAATTATTCAACCTTTAGAAATGGCTGGTACCTTGGTTCGGAGAACCGACGAAGAGGTTTGTATTCCAGCGTCCTTCAGCCTTTCCAGTTTCTTGCATGAACCACAGCCACCATAAATTACCTAAAGTTTGTTATTGCAGCTACTTGAATCAATAGACTCATTAGTTGTCGTTGAGAGAGAAGGTCAAATTATTGCATGTGCTGCACTCTTCCCATTCTTTGAAGAGAGATGTGGAGAGATTGCTGCCATCGCTGTTTCTGCAGAGTGCCGAGGACAAGGACAAGGCGACAAATTGCTTGGTATGATAATCAATTGCTTTATCACATACTATATGTAAGGAATGAATTCTGTTCAACTCGTTAGGCCATGGTTTACAATGTCTGTTTATGGTGTCTACAAGTGCCTTCTTGCTTAATTTACGTGCTCTACTTCATTTGGGCATGGTAAAAATAATAGATATTGGTTAGCTCTTGGGAGGAATCTTAAAAGGGTCTCACTCATTGCGCCACAATCAGCTCCCCGCTGTATTTTATTTTTTTAAATCTATAATTAGTACAATTTATTCCGTATAATATTTATTATGCTCTTTTTTGGTAGTTGAAATTAAGGTCAATATAAGTTCTTAGAATTCTCTGATTATTGTGGTGCAGGATACTCGTTAAGAAAGTTGTTTCCTGATTTAAAAAATAGTTGTGATTACCATTTGTGAACCATTTGAAACGAATAACTATCAGATTCAGGCGTTCTTGGGTGCTTGCTGTATTCATTAACTGATACATAATTCGGCTTACTGAGCTGCAGATTACATGGAAAAGAAGGCCGCCTCCCTAGGACTGGACAGGCTCTTTCTGCTCACAACACGAACTGCAGACTGGTTCGTTTGCAATCTTACCTGATTTTATTGCATGTCTTCCTGCAACATTATACATATTTTTAAATTGATTTCAAATTAGTTGCTGGTTGCTTTACCAATACTCAATCCACTACACATACAAGCTCCAGGGTAATTCTGGTTCAGCTATTCGTGTTCATATTCTGATCACTCATCTTTTACTATATCAATTGAATAAGATTGTTCTCATTACCTTTTGATAATAAAGTTTATATCCATCTTGGATGGCAATGTGTGAAGATAGAAAATGTCACCATGTTCATCTCCATGGCTATAGCTTTCTATTATAATTTAGTTGATTTTCAATGGAAGGAAATGATACCCCACTTTTTTAACAGGTTTGTGAGGCGTGGTTTCTCAGAATGTTCATTTGAATCAATACCTGAAAATCGGAGAAAAAGTATAAATCTATCCCGGAAATCCAAGTACTACATGAAGAAGCTGTTGCCAGATAGGAACAGGAACGGTAGAATTGACAGGGCGTTTGCTTGACCCTCGATTGAGAATTGAAATGTCTCGCAGTAGAAGAAGCATATGTTCCTCTTGGCTAGCTTGTTTTATCCTTTACCTGTCAGTCAAGACCCGTCGTCCAACCATGTGGGTTATCATCTGTAGTTGTTCACCTAGACATGTATATAATGTTCTAAAAAGAAGTTGATTGCAGGCCTCCACTACAAAATTTTGATTGTCTTCATCATATCAATGCAACTCAATGTGTACTTGCGACACACCAAGGTTTGTATTTATATTTTATTGGGCAAATTAAGTGTACAAACAGTGAGATAGGTACAGAACAAAGGGAAATTTTGATTCCCTAGATAATATCATTGCAATGTATGGTGTCATTTATGCTTTTCTTTAGCAAATCAAGTATACAAACAGTGAAAATTGATCGTGTCTGCAGAGATTAAGGCATGGGAGTAGTGCCGTCCGAAGCAGAAAATTTACAATACACTAATAGCAGTGCTCTTGATAATATTTTGCACATGATTCATTAACTTTATGGCTCTATGTTCTGTGATATGACTATAGTTAAACAGCACTGATTTCAATAGGGTTCACGGAATCAAGCTATTGGAGTACTGAAGCCATTATCTTCATTGCACAAAATATGACTTAACAACTCCTATGCTCGTTTTTTACTCGAGATACTGCTCAAAATGCATATGAGCTTTCATTCAATGTTCTGTATCAGGAACATAAAGAGATAACAAAAGTTGCAAGGTCAAGTGAGTACACACCATGGTTCCACTTATTATAACCAACTTCCTCAGAGGTAAGCAACGAAATGGACTACACAAACCCTCCAGTCTGTCCTGCCTTGAATGAGATGAGAAAAAGTATGGTGAACAAGTTTACGCCTCCTTGGGTTCAGGATGGCCCTTCCATTTGAAATTGTCAGCATATGCCTTCGCCTAAAGCCAAAACAGGGAGTTAAATTTTTCTGTTTCTTTATTTTAGAATGCTCATGGGAAACTAAACAGCCAAGATTCACGGAATGTCATTAGTTAGATGACATGAAGAAAACAAGCAGCATCAAAATTCCTTCATCAACTAATGCTAACAGACTTTAAAAACCTTTGTCAGATCTTCATCCTCCTTATCTATCATAAAGGAGCTCTTAGCTGTTAGAAGATCTAAATACTCCAATAGTAACAACCCAAATTCATATAACGTCGTTTGGTAAAAAGAATTACGTATACTACAACAAAACAACAATTGATACCGAAATGAAACTGAAACTGAGCTCCTTAAACTAGCCACAAGAAGACTCTAGATTGCCAAAGGATTGAGAAATCTCAAACGAAATGTCCTGAAGGCAACAAAAATTGGAGGAAACAAATAAAATTGAAAATAAAATGCCAGCAGAACTGCAAAAGACGATGAAAGAAATGGCCATTAAACAAAGGAATAAAATTAACACGAAGGAACAGTCCTTGAAAATAGTCAAAAGCTAGTATATGTGACAGAGAGCTTAATGGATGAATCATTCTTAGCTTCAGCGTGGCCCCCTCATTTCTCAAAAATACAATCATAGAACCGTAGATAAAATATAAGCTCAATGAAATTAAAATAATGGGAAAGAATCTCAAACCTTCAAAAGTGGTGTGTGGCGCTTCTTAACCTACAAAATGGAGAAAAAGGGGGCAAAAAAGAATCAAGAAACACAATCAACAGAAGAATGAGAATTAACCAGAAGCGTGTGGACTGTCTCTCCGTGTAATATCATAATATGCAGACCAGAAAAGTGGTTCCTAAATCTGAACAATTATAAAATTAAAACGCCCATTAAGAGTCCACTCCCCAGATAACGATAAAATTGTAAAGCAATGCCAACAGAATGCTAAATAAGAAGCATGAACTTTCTGCAACTAATGGACCAAATTTGGAAGAAATACTGGCATTTCTCCCCCCTCAAATTTCTGAATTTTAGCTTCAAACTAATACTAGAAGATTAAATAGCCGAATTTATTTCCACTATCTTAAAATTTAAGAACTTACATTCAGAGTCAAACGCCAAACATATAATAGTCCAAATGCAGAAATCATGAATCGTCTTTGTTATTCTAAATAAACATATTAAACAATCATATCCAAGGGCCATTTCATTTTTTAATCAGACTGGATTGTTTTGACCTTGAGGGAAGGCAAAGATCTATTGTAAAGAATATATTAGAATATACACAAAATTCATCAACACCTCCAACTGTAATTGTTACTGATTTGAAGGCAACGGACACACGAAAAATAACATAGTTTATAACTAACCTAAAATATGACACCTCAAACTACATAAAGGGAATTACAGGAAGAAAATTCTCTCTAAATGGTTAACGAAAGGTTACCACATATTCCCATCCATGTTTCTCAGCAAATGCCTTCGCAGCTTCTTCACTGTCAAAAGATAGCGCAGAGTCCCCTACGTTGGCGTAGGGGTCTCCAGTAGAAGTCCATCCCATCAATGGGTTTTCCCACCTACAAACATGACAATAATCATAAGAAAACTCTTCACTCTTCTGTTTGTATGTTTTTCTTTCTTAAATGAGAAACCAATCTTTTAAGAAAATAAATGACATTCTACACACACGGAATACAAAAACGGACCAATCCACCACAAAAGGTGCCTGATCAGAGAAACAAAAATCCAAAATGACAAAAATTATAAGAGGAAAAACTAATCTAATTGATGAGAGTAAGAGAACAAGGGTTATTAACTTTGGGCACTTGAAGTTTGCCCAGTATAACATGTTGTGCACAATATTTCAACTGCTAGGCATCTGCTAGAACTGACTTAAAAATTCTGTTATCCAATGAAGCAACAGTTCGATTTTTTTAAAAGTAAAACTTGGGAAATAAAGAAAAAGAAGAATTCATACTTTTGTGTTGACATAAAGTTGATTTTCCACTTGCCAACCTTGCCAGATCCTTGCTGGGATGCAGTTCTAGCCGGAGAGTAGATTACAACCTGACGTATTTCATGATAGGAAGACAAATGAATCAGGATGGTCAAATAAAAAGGATTAATGTTATGGGGAAATCCACGGTTAGTGGTTTGCATATCAAAATTACAAGTATAAACCTCAATACACGTAAAATTGAATCCCGAAAAAAAATTAATTTCAATAAATATATATATTTTCAAAAAAAAAAAACCCAACATTTGCCTTTTATACAGAACAAAATGAAAAACTAAACAATTGCCCCTGAATAACTAATAGAGACAATGAGATAGTGATCGATAAAGCCTTTTGTTAAATCAGCATAAAAGAACATATTTCTCCCGAACAACTGATTTGGATCTAACCTATAGCAATATACCGTAGGATAAGAAAAGGAATGGCAAAGGTGCAGTTGTTCTTTGTGATTAAACCTCGGGCTCCTCTACAATTTTTACTTTATTTTAATCAATTTTTGGTGATCAAGATCCTATTCATACTAAATGTAGCGTCGTAGTGATAAATCAGCCGGAAATTTCCTTCTCCTTATCGAAACTGACTCCATTTCGACATAGAAGCAGCAAAGTAACACCTAAAGGGTTTAGCTACAGCAGACCATTCTAAAAGACCCAGGTAAAAACAAGCAGGAACTGTCAATCAGACGGGTATAAATATACCTAATCCCCAAAAATCATCAATACCATCCAATAACTCGCTCCGTCTAAACTAAACCACAACATAAAAAATTAGAAACTCGGTGATAAATACTAGAGCAGATGAATGCTGGGCAATACCCTTCTGGTAAGGTGTTCCTCGGGAATTCCAGAGACCATACCGATCTCGCCGGGCTTAACTTCAACCAAAGAGTCGGCGGAGAATGACCTGCAAAGAGGAGCCATAGTACCGCGGAGAGCACACCCGCGGTTCCAGATTCGCTGCAAGGAGTTAGCCATCTGTCGATGAACAAAATTTGACGCGAAAACTAGTTTTCCGTCTGGCTCGTCCCCCCGCTAATAACACAGTTCCGACTCGATTATGCTTCGAACGACGGAGATGATTTCTCTAAAACCTGTAGGAATTGCAGGTGCTAGAACTTCTCCAAACTAAGCTAGAAAATAAAGGGTAGACTAAAAATTACCTTTTTTTTTTTACTGTTTATTAAAAAAAATATATTAATACATTTGAATTTTTTTAAAAAAAATTAAAAATAGTCTATATTTAAAAAACATTCCTAAAATTTTAAAGATAAATTTCTTAAAAAGTTTATATTCAATAACAAAATCTTTTGATTACTGATAATAAATATTTAAATTAATTCACTTATAATAATCTATAAATATATTTGAAATCAAATTCGAAAAAAATATGTAATATACTTATAAAAGTTAGAATTTAAAAATTTTACTAACATGAATATATATTTATTTTTTTACCGAGTGAGATGGGCAGTGATTAGTAATTAGCTTGGAAGAAGGGGCAGGTTGAGTTATTACGAAGGATAAATTGAGAGTGTCAAAATTCCCCAGTTTTTCTGCCTTCTAAAGCCTTTTCCTCTTTTTTTCATGTATTCAACTATATTTGTCCTTCCCAAGATTCGTGTTGTTTTGACGATGTGACCCCTGAATTTCTCGTCTTCAAAATAATTTGTCTAGTACTGGACTGATCTTTCTTTCGAGCGGACGCGCGCTCGTAAATTGCCAGAAAACCTTGAGGAGAATCTGAACGAGCGGAAATGGTTTAAGCTGCAGTCTTTGTTGGTTTCGAAAGTTCCACTCAACTACGATATTCTATTGTTCCCTATTTTTCTAAGGTAAGAAAGGCAGAATTTTGTTTCTGTTCTGTTTGTTCAATTCTTTGTTTTGTGTTTTCAGTTTTGAATGAATTTTTCGGTGGAAATCGAAGTATTTTTTTAGGCACTACAAGCTGGGACTCCTTTGGAGAGAAAAATTGATTACATATTCTAACAATTTGAATTATTGGATAGAATGATATCGCATGTCTCTTTATTCGATCATTTCTTATGTGCAATTTCATTTTCTTTCAAAATCCTTTATTTCTTGTAAACGATGGAAGTACTTGCTGACTAATCGTTTGTTTTCGATGAATTGATTTGATTGCTTACTGAAGTTCCCGACAAATACTTAAAAAAAATTGTTGCAGAGTTGGAGGGGCTTTTGCAAATGGGTGCGCCAAAGCAGAAATGGACAGCTGAAGAAGAAGCTGCCCTTAAAGCAGGAGTGATCAAGCATGGAGCAGGAAAATGGCGCACAATACTAACAGATCCAGAGTTCAGCTCAATTTTGCATCAGCGCTCAAATGTGGATCTCAAGGTGCCTCCCTTCACCCCCTAGTTATCGTTTATTCACCATAATTAAGCCACAGGATGTAGAAATTCACCAAGCATCCCATGTTGAGTTTTCCTTTCCATATTCTACTTGGAAACACAGTGCTTGGTTTACTGAAACATTAATGACTTTTTAATGTAATTTTGGCTCTGAACAGGACAAGTGGAGAAATATAAATGTTACTGCAATATGGGGCTCTAGGCAAAAAGCTAAGCTTGCACTTAAAAAGAATCCTTTGGCCCTAAAACATCACGATGATCCTATGCCTGTAAGCACCGTTCATCAGAATGAGGAGATTGTTGACGCTAAGCCACTTGCAATTTCAAATGGAACAATTCGCACTAATGGTCCAAAAGAGCCACTAGCAAGGTCTCATCGCTGCTGATTATGTGAATCTTTCTTGTTCCAGGGTGAAACAGTCTGATACATATTGTGATTATTGCATAACCAATTGTTATTATGGTTCACATAGTTTTAAAAGTATCAAATACCATAGCTAGCTAAATTTTCTGGTAAAGTAAATCTTGACATTTTTTTTCTACTTCCAGAAACTAATGACTAGTGATTAAATAATTGTTTAATCAATGATATGCATCACATACGCCACAAAGAGAAGTCATCGCCTAGTCTGCATACACACACACACACATAACTTTTTGTAATGCATGGCCTAGTTCCTCAACTTTATTGCATTTAGTGTTACCCTATATCACTTGCATTTTTTTTGGAGGCAAAATTGCTTCAATTTCTTGTTCAGCTTTCCTGGAATCATGAGGGAACAAGAGGCCTTTTTTGGTTCTATTATCTTACCTTTTGCCTCTATGGTAGTTATTTTGATATAAGAAATGATACATTAATGATCTAGGTGATCTTTCACCTGCATTCAGAATGAGAAAATATAATTTCCAAATTTGTCTATATATCCACTAAACATGGTTTTAAACATCATGTTCTAAAATTAGTCTTCACTGGAAGCTGCAGGTGCTTCATTGTTCCTTTCCTGCTTTCAAATAGATTTATAAGACCTGTTTTGCATGTTGTAGATTGGACAAACTTATATCAGAGGCAATTAACAACTTAAAGGAGCCAAGGGGTTCTGACCGGGCTGCAATTGCTATGTACATAGAGGTGCTAATGCATAATACAAGTGGATCGAATTGTTTGACAATTTTGTATGTGGAGTAAAGATCTTATGCATAGAATGGATAATTATTAAAACTAATTACTATGAGATGCTGTAATATGTCATGTTCTTTCCGTGGAAGGGATGCCAATCAGTCAATAAGTGTACTAAAATGTGATTTCTTTATCTGTTTGTAGCACTGCATGCTAGTCTTTGTGTGTGTGAGTATTAAATAAGAGAGAGCTTTTTATTGAAATAGTGGGAAAGGAACAAAAAGTGATGAGACTTCTAACAAAAACCAAGGAGATTACGAGAGGGTTATCCTCTTGTTTATTAAATTCACTTCTTTCAGGCAGTTTTATCATTTCTACAATTGGGTACTTAGATATATTACTTTCAGCTCCTGAGTTTTTCTTATTCATAAGTTAGATCCCTAACAAACTGTGTACTCTGGTCATTTGAAGTCTTACATGATAGTAAAATCTCACAAATTTAAATAAGTAAAAATAAATTCAGAAGATTTGATGACCATCACTTTATGTATTTTTCATTAACATCTTCTTACCTTGATGCCTCTGCAATTTTTTTTTTGTTGACAAAAAATGGTATAATTCTGAAGTTTTCATTTGTTCCTTGTGTAGGAGCATTACTGGGCCCCACGAAACCTTAAAAATCTCCTTTCAACAAAATTAAAGCATATGACGGCAAATGGAAAGTTGATAAAGGTAATTCTCCTACTATAATACAGAAATTATATGGAAAAATGATTATTCTAGCAGCTGTTGAGACTGTTGAGATTTAAGGCTGATTGAATATTGACTGGTAAGCCTGTGTGCTATTTTCTTCGCTAGGAGGAAGGCCTGAAGAAGCAGTGACTTGGGGAGTTTTAGAATAGCAAGGGTTTATTGGAACTTTTTTGCATGAGAATGATGTCAATCTGTTTTGGGGAGTGTTCTTGAGGTATGTCTAGGGAGACAGTAAGGCTGTATCTATAATGTTAACAAAAGAAATCAAAAGGGGAGGGGGAAAGGGGTAAGCTGGTTATGGTAGCAAGTACGAGTGAACAAACCATTCAAAATCATGCGACCCCCACTGTTCAAGTAGTCTTCTTGGCAGTCAGTTCTTATAATTGTTTTGTTGGGGAAACAAATTCATTGAATCAAGATTTGATCAATGGGACACAACCATGCTCGAGTAGACAGGCCATGCTTGACGATAACGTGTTATTTGAGGTGATTTGTTTGTCTTTTTTTAATGCCATTTTGGTTTGTAGCTCTAGTCTGAAGACTTGTGTTCAGCATTTAGGTGCATTGTCGCATGATCAAGGGCTTTATGCTAACATCCAGAAATGTGTATTTTCCTAAATGGAACTGGAGTACCCCAGTCATATATTACCGAAGGGTTGGGTATCATCTAATCAATAGAAAATTGAAGCCCTGCATGTCTTGTGTGTTTCAATAACGTTGAAGGAATTGAAGTGGTTCCTTTTAACTGGGTACAAAAGAAAATTTAAGAAGGATAGTGGACACATATTGTGGCCACTCATGGAACTATTGACAAGGGATCAGTTTACATAGATACAACTTAGGCCAACAGGTCCGTCAGCGGTTAAAAAGAGCCACAGTAAATTTCTAGGTTCTTTCTTCACCAACTGTTTAGAAGCAGATCCTTGACTTGGCACAGATAACCAAAACAGTGGATGTGCTGGATTCATTTGGGCCAAAATTGGTTGAACACTTCATACCTTAAAGCAACTCCTTTTGAGGCACCCTTTGGTCAAGACCCAACCTCACCTAACTGTTCCAGCTTCTCGCAATAGTTAAGTGAGATTGGATCTTGACCAAAGAGTGCCTCAAAAGAGGGAGCTTTTAGATCCTCAAACCTTTAAGAGTTTCTATGAAAATCCATCCTCACCTACATTGTGCTCTTTCTTCAAAATAGTGATGTATTGTACTCCAGACCTAGCCCAATAAATATGAAGACATTGGTCAACAAGAAGAGGAAGGATTTGAGTTTTGTAGTAGGCGACTTGGTTTTCCTGAAGTTATGCCCCTATAGACGTTCTCTTGTTCAGTGATCAATAAGAAACTTGCACCCTTTTTTTGCAGCCGTTTGCCAATGGAGTATTAGGTGTGTTATGTGGGATATCGATGGAATCTACCAGCTACAGTTGATATGCCTTTAGTGTTCCACGTGTCCCAACTTTGCCCAACCTGGCTCTACATTTGAAGGCTTGCCTCTTACTTGCATCTCGACTTTGAAAGGGTTTGTCGTGGAACCATAAATAATATTGAACGGCTTGAAAAAGAGTTTGGTCAGTCAAATTGAGATGAAGCCATAAATAACTAACCCTGACACTAGAGCCAGAAATAATTAACCCTGATGCTAGAGCCATATTAACATGCTACATCACCCTTCAGATTTGCCCGGTTATGTGGTCAAGAATTTCTTAAAGGGCATTCTAAAACCTTACCAAGTATTTTATTGAAGGAAAATTTTTTGAACATGTTTCTGAAGGATGTACTATTATTCCGTTGTATAAGGAATTCACGCTCAAATTAGAGTTTTGTTTTCCTTTTCATTCTGGGATGTTAAAAGTCTGATATATTGATAAGTCAATGCACCGTTGTTAATTATAATGC